TAAACTTTGTTCTGCTTCAATTCAATAAGATATCCGAATACGTCCATCTTTTTATTCTAAGTAAATGTCATTTCCGAAAAATGAAGCGTAAGTGTTTCAAAAGGTTTAATGGCGGTGGCAGATGTGAAGTTAAATTCACCAACTCAAACAAAACAGTCAAAGTGTTGTTGTCAATGTCAAAGACAGAGATGTTGAAGTGGGGAAACCATACGAAGACGAAGATGGTATAACAATTGTTCTGTAAAAGAACCAACATATCCTGAAGTTAGCAGAGACTTAAGTTCTGTTGCAGATATTCGAAACGACTACCAACAACTGAAAGACAAACTTCAAACTCAGGAGAAGATTTGTCAAGCTTTAAGTATAATGTTAAACTTGGTCGAACACAAACCCTGTAAAAGTGAACTCATATGTCATTGCACCTCATGAAGTTTTGAAAGAACTATTGAAACTTTTGACAGAGGCAGACGATATAAACATCAAAGAAATAGAACCCGACATTAGTTGCTGTGGTGTTTCATATAATGTCATTGACAAGATATACGTTATGAAAGGAGGTGAAATGTTGAACTTAAAATATAGTTTCCCAGACGTTATAAAAATATTTGACGACCACAACATTTCATTAAAATTTATTTGCTAAGTAAATGGCAGAAGACATAATGGTTTATACTATTACGACTAAAAACCCTGAGTCATATAATTCTATAACAACAAACTTACAAAGTCCTCAAGGACGATATTGTAAACTAACCTTAAACACAATGACGACTAAAGCCTGTTTTGCTCTTTTGACACCAGAAGACTTTATTTTGTGAATGGTAAAAAATACTCCTTTGAAGATACTTACTCAGATATACCACCAAAAGGTTTTGTTGACTTATTTAATACTTTAAGTACAGGTGTAACATGTGCTGCAACTAGAGCAGGTTTCATTATGTTTGGATGTCCGACTGAGTTTACTATAAACGATATGAGCTATAATACAAAACTTATTTCTGGTTTTTACTACCAACAGTTTCCTATAACAGGAAAAGGTGTCATACAAGGAATGTCTATTCCATTGACATTAAGCACACCAATCTTATATATTGTTTCAAACTTAGGTTCAGAGTGTTATTCGAATGTCGACAGAAACTATTATGACCAAAAGATACTTATGCGTATAAACAATACTTTCTCTGCTGGTTTGCCTATTGTTCATTCGAATGCAGAATTTTCAACCTTAGTGAACTCAAACACTTTGGCAAGTATAACGTTGACATTAGTTGACGCAAACTTTGTTCCTGTAAAACTTTTATGTCCTATGTATTTGTCAATGACGGCAGAAAGTTTCGAATTGGAAGATGCAACTGGTGAAAGTATTGTATTACAAGAACAACTTCAACAACAAATAGCTCAAGAACAACAAATGCAACAAATGGAACAACAAAGTCAAGAATAAAAAAATAATATTTTTTTTATTTTATAAAAATGTACAGAATAGATGTTTCAGATTTTTATGACTTCAAGCATTCAGAAATAATGTGTCCATTTAGAGACTATAACAAAGCAGTCGAGAATTTGAAACGTTTAGTCATTTATGTTGACTCTGCCCCAGAATGTTATGTCATGAAAGAATGGGATGTAGTCTTTAACAAACCTAAAGCGACAATAGTTTCAGAACAAGAATGTAGACAAAACTTAAGAAAATAAAAGTCGTACAGGTTGGCATGAAGATGTTAGATGCTTGGGATATCTTATTGTCAAAACTTGAAGATTTTTCAGTTCGTGGTATAAAGTTTTATACACCTTCTCCAAACTTCTCTATCTTCACTGGATATAAATACGAACAAGTAGAATGGAAAGAAAATATTATAGAAGCTTGGTTAGACCATGTCAAAGAAATTATATGCAATGGAAACGAAAAGGTTTATGAGTATATCTTATGTTGTTTGCAAATATCTTACAACATCCAAGTGCTAAGAATGAAACTGCTCTCATTATAATTGGAAAACAAGGAACAGGTAAGAACACATTCTTTACAGATATCTTATGCAAACTATTAGAAGGTTATTCGAACCCTAATATGACAACTTAGAAAACATCTGCGGTAAATTTAACTCTTCTATTGAGAATATGAAACTTATAGTTTGCAATGAACTTCAAAGTATAGATACAACAAAAGTTTTGAACTCAGATGCTTTGAAGAGTCTTATAACAGACAAAGTTGGAGTTGTTGAAAGAAAGTATAAAGACCAAAGAGTTTGTGAAAAATGTTGCAAACTTCATTATTTTCAACAATGCTGTTCCGATGAAGTTAGAAAGTTCTGACAGAAGATATGTAGTTGTCAGAACGTCAGATTCTCATATGCAAGATACAGAATATTTTGACGACTTAGCAGAAACTTTGACATCTGACTTTTACAACCACTTGTTCTCATATTTCATGACATTAGATATTTCTAAGTTCAATCCAAGACAAATTCCACATACCGAAGAGAGACAAACATTGTTAGAAGCAAACAAGAGTGTATATGAACTGTTCATAGATGAAACTGACTTTGTGTCATTAGATGAAAGGTCATTGTACGATTCGTATAAACAATATTGTCAAGAATATGGTTATATGGCAGCTTCTAAACGAACATTCTTGGCAAATGTCAAAAGTCTTTTAGATGTTCAGAATAGTGTATATACAAAGAAAATTTTTTCTGAGTAAATTTTAAAAAAATATTTTTTTATCCGATAGAAAAGATGACGAAATTCATCTCAGTAAATAAGTACATGACAGAAGTCAAAGATAAGTTAGCTCCATTCGCATATTTGAATGTTTACTTCTACAATTTTGAAAAGTCTACATTTGACAAAATTTGGAACATTGCACCAGTTAAGTTTGCTGTTGTTAGAAAAAGTGGTGCAACTTTTGAAGACTTATACATTGACGGTATGTTGACAGTCAAAGAAAATTTTGACAGAAAGTTCTCAAAACTCGAAGAAGGTAAAGCATACAAACTTTTATACCTTATGAACCAAAGAAAGCAGACGACTATGAATATTATGAGTCTAAGATAGTTGAAGTTCAAGGTAAATTGGGTAAAAAGATTTTAGAGTCTAAGCCAGTGTTTACTCCTAAAGAGGAAGAGAACATTGACATTGACCAGAAATGTTCTAAAAATAAAATTTTATTTTTACATGTCAAATTTCTTTTTCTCTGGAACTGGTTCAGGTTCTTTCTTCTCTTCTTCTACTTTCTTTTCTTTCTTTTCTCTCTTCTTCTTTTCTGGTGGAGTTATGTCAAATTTCTCAGAACCATATTTATGTAAAAGTTCTTTGTCCTTTAATAGCTCATCTATTCTGTTTTCTATTTCATCTTCAAGAACAGCGCATGTGTCTTCTTTGCATTCTAAGAACTTTTGTTGGACTTCATATTTCCAATCGGCGTCATCTCTGTCAACAAGTCTGTCATTGACAAATTTTAAGACTGCTCTTTGTAATGTTTTATGGTTCTTGTCATATTCCCAGAAACAGAACTTTAGAACAAATTCACCTTTCTTGTTTACACTATGTAAGATTTTATGGTCGACAGATGTTTTGCTGTCGAAAAGCTTGTCTCGAATATAGATAGCGAAATCGCTAGACATTTTCTAAAAGATAAAAATTTTAATTTTTCTAAAAATATGTTAGAAAAAAAGTTTGCTGACATTGACAAAAAATTTGAGAATGTTTTAAAAAACAAGAACAAGAGGAAGTTAGAAAATGCTCAGATAAAGCCTATACATGACAAGTTCTTATTTGCCCAGAATGGTATAACAGGTCTAATTGCACCACCTGGGTCGGGTAAGACTTTCACTTATCTTAAAATGGCTGCACAACAACAAGAACTAGATGAGAAGAACCCATTCTATGAGTTAGTAGTCATTTGTAGTACTTCTGGTCAATTTGACCAAACCGTCAATTCGTTCAAAGATATTATAAAGAAGTCTAAGTTAGTATGTATAAAGGATACTGAGTTGTTAGATTGGATAAAAGAAGTACCAAAGAAGAGTTTTGAAGTATAATGCTATAAATGAGTATATAAATTCTAAGTTTAAAGACCCAAATGAGGAAATGCAGAGAATATTAGAGAAGAAACACTTCAGAAACAAAACAGAAAGAGATAGAATACATTTCGAAGAAATTGCAATCTTACGATTGGAAGACTTACCCTCATAGATGTCTTCTTATCTTAGATGATTTCGCCTCTCATCCTTTGTTAAAGAACAGAGAACAAGACATGTGTCGAATTCTTAAGAAGCTCAGACACTTTAACATTTCAGTCGTAATATGTGTACAGACAGCAAAGAGTTTAAGTAAGGATGTTAAAAGAATACTTACTGACATTATACTTTTCCCGGATTGTCGAAGACGATTTCATGGAACTTATGAAAGAGTACATGGCAGGTAAGTTTGACAGACATGAACTATGGGAGAAGTACAAAGTCATACAAGACCCTCATACTTCTTTCAGAATTCATATCTACGCAAACAAAGTTCAAATTGTAAAAATTCAAGCTTGAAAAATAAATGGTTCATCTACCCTACTTGTTTGAAGTTGTCAAAATACTCTGTTATTTTTTCTTTCAGTAGCGGTAAGTCTTCTTTGAAGGTAAAAATTGTACAACCTTTCATATCATATTGTGTTTGAGGTAACGTATCTTGAACTATTTGTTTCACATCTTCATTTGGGGTCATTGAAATCGGTAAGTTTTCGCGATAGAACCAATTTCTGTCAGATTTGTAAATCTTAGCAAGGTCGTAAAAGCTTTTGTTGTTTCTTCTGACTAAATGCAACATAACCATATCTTTATCTTCTTCATTTTCCATCTCTTCAGTATAAATCATATACTTATAGTTCTTTTCCTTTCCTTTTGGTACCGAACGTGGTATTCTTTTCTGAATGCTTTTGTCTTTTGCTTCAAGCTTGTTTTCCATCTCTTCACGTTCTTGTCTATGAATTTCGTCAAGATCTGTAAATATACCAAGCATAACGAGGCGAAGCCCACATTGCAACAGCATTTACAAGAAGTCTATGTACATAATATCCTCTCAAACCGTTTGGCAATTTTTCACGATTTTCATAGAGTTTTGGCGACTGGGGTTTTTTACTTACTCGCTGTTCTTCACTGTTTTCATAGAGTTTTGGCGACTGGGGTTTTTTACTTACTCGAGTTTTTGCGACTACGAAAAAATCCGTAGTCGAATTTTCAGCTTCATTTAATAGTTCAATAGTGCTTTGGTTCCTAAACCAGTCTTGTGGTTTCTTAGTATCTGGAGCAAAACATGCTGTCAAAATACTTTGCATTTGGTACATATCGTCTTTGACTGAACGAATGAGACGGAGTTGTTTGTTAAACTGTATGTACTCGTATTCTTCATTTATAGCTTCATGGACTATAACTGTTGTTGTGTTCTCTGTTGTTGACATATCTGTCTTTACATACAAAATAAAAAAATAAATAAAAATAAAACTAACTTTATTTTCTGACTTTCACAAAAGACCAAAAATAAACGCTTTACATGTATTTTTCAGCAACTTCGTCAAATAATTTTATAGCTTTATCTATCTCATCTACTTCAAACGTTTCTTTACCTTTTATGGGAGCACCATACATTTTCTCAAACTTTTCAAGTAGTTCTGTTTCTGCAGCTCTCATATCATTAGCAAACACAACCTTGACTCTATTGACTGTACTGTTATATCTTTGAGTTATATTATATGTTCTTCCTATCTTATATCTTTTTGTGTTGAAGTCCTTCGGTTTCTGAACGATGTAAAGTAAGCCTTCACTGCAACGTTCCGTATCGAATGAACCATATGTTATGAAGTTATATCCAACAACTGGGTCTAACCATAACAAAACTATTGGTATAAGACTTTTGTCAATGAGATATGCTGTAGTTCCATAGAATCTTACCGATATCATAAGCTCAGGATTTCTTGTCAAAATTTTCTGAGTAGAAGCAATTCTAACCCAGTCCTTTGTTTTCTTTCCAGATGGAGATATAATGTCTGACAAAAAATATTTGTTGTATTTCTTTGAGTATCTTACGTTTAAATCACCTATTCTAACCACTTTGGTGTCATTGTCATCTTTCTAACTGTTTCAAACTCAATGTTTGACATATCTGTCTTTACATACAAAATAAAAAAATATTTTATAAAAAACTAACTTTATTTTTTCTATCTTAAGGAAATTCATGATTTTTGTGCTGAATTCAATAAAAATATATTTTAGGTGAAGTCCACATTGCAACAGCATTTACAAGAAGTCTATGTACATAATATCCTTTCAAACCAGGAGCCAAATTCTTGCGATTTTCATACGGAATCTCTTCTCTCGGTTTTCCGAGGGAAGCAAGCATATGCCATTTTACTCAGAATTTTGTTGCTGAATTCAATAAAAATAATGTTTAGGTGAAGAGGTGAGATTTCACCTGTTTTTTCACCTAATTTTTCACCCCAGTTATTTTATAAGCGTTTTACATGGTAAACGTTATTTTTTAAATTTTGTGAAAACTCAACGGTTTGACACAAGCCATATGCCATTTTACTCAGAATTTTGTTGCTGAATTCAATAAAAATATATTTTAGGTGAAGAGGTGAGATTTCACCTGTTTTTTCACCTAATTTTTCACCTCTTTTTTTCACAAGCGTTTTACATGAATTGTACGATGTATATTTGAAATCCTAAACAGTTTCGTAGCTTCTATTTCTTCTTTTAGTACATTGAATGTTTTAACAATGCCGAAAGTTTCTTTATACTTCTTCTTGACGTCAGATAGAAGGAAATCGTCAGCAGTTGGATAGTTTTTGTTCAGAAATGCTAACATGTCCATTTTATCTTCTACCGGCTTCTCTGCTTCTTTCTTTAAATCTGCATAGTCGTTTCTCATTCTTTCTATCTCTTTGACTGAGTAGTTATATTTTCTTATTGCTGCTTTACATTTAGAACATTGCGGGTTCATTTTTGCGTTATATTCTGAAACCTTACCTGCTAAAACAACCAAGGCGTCAATGGTTTTCTTTAAATCTGAAGCAGTTGGTTTTATCTGTTCATTCCATACCTTACCTCTTCTATCTTTATCTCTTATCTGCCATACACATTTTGCAGCTAATGAAACAAAGTTGTCGTATGTCTTAAACTCCCCAGATTTATATATGTCAGAGATGTTCTTATATACTATGTCGCAATCTTTGTCCATAACTTTATGGTTGCAATGAAAACCAAGGAATTCATAATTTACCTTTCGTATGAACTTCTTTATTTCTACTGAGTCAGTTGCTTTGACTTCTATTTCATCAAATTCAGGAATAGTTAGTTTTTGCTGCTGAATTTCAGGTAGTTTAGGCAAATGGTCGATGAGGTCCTCCATTTCATAAAGATACTGTTCATTTGTTTCATCTTTCGCACTACAGTCTAAATTACTTGTTAAAAGTTCTTGCTTTATCTTCTGGATTTCTGTTTCGAAAGTATATGAAGAAGGAATGAAGCTTTTCATTTCTACTAACATAGATGTTGGATTCATGACTAACGAGTTTGGTGCTGTTGTTTGAATTGTTGTTGTGCCGATTGTTGACATATCTGTTCTTACATACAAAATAAAAAAATAAATAAAAATAAAACTAACTTTATTTTTTCTATCTTAAGGAAATTCATGAAAATTCAAGAGGGTGAAAAAACAGGTGAAAAAAGAGGTGAAATCTCACCTCTTCACCTAAATTATATTTTTTGGTCCGGGAACAACTTTCTCTCAATTGGAGCTGTAGCATACTCTTTGCGTAAGCGGTTCAGACCTTCTTCGAAGTTTTGGTCTCTCTTGGACTGAGATTGGAATTGCTGGGGTGGAGCTTTAGGTTCCTCTGGTTTGGGAATGGACTCGGTTGGTGGTACGTCGGACATTGTTCTGAAGCAGTACAAGTATTGTTCTGAAGCAGTGCAAATATTGTTCTGAAACAGTACAAGTATTGTTCTGAAACAGTACAAGTATTGTTCTGAAACAGTACAAGTATTGTTCTGAAACAGTACAAGTATTGTTCTGAAACAGTACAAGTATTGTTCTGAAACAGAAATTTTTTCTCACAAATTGAGAGCTTTTACGGGAAATTTGTTCTGAAAAAGTTCAAGTCTTGTTCTGAAAAAGTACAAGACTAGTTCTGAAACAGAACAATGGACAACATCGAGCCATTAGATGAGGCAATTTACCTTATAGAGATAAATGAAGTTGTTAAGCAGTACTTGGGCAAGGACAAAGCCAACAAGTCCCTCGGCTTCTGGTTGTCTGGAAGAGGTGCGCTGAAAATCGAAATTGAAACCGGAATTCCAATTCAAATACCAGAAAACACTCCTGTAGACGACATAAAGGAGATGAAGAAAGAAGCTCTTCTCAAGTTCTTTGCAAAGCGCCCATGGATACAACTTCCAAACAGAGAGAGTCCAATTCCACGAATTATACAAATTCTCAGAGCACTGTTCCACTTCTCGGATCAGCCGTTCTACATAACCTCAGAAGGCAACATCCAACCAGTTCAGTAAACATCTCATTTTAACTCACTTTTTTATGTTTTTTGTGAAAGTGTCAAAAATAAATTGTTTTCATGAGTTTTCTACGATGTTAGAAAAAATGTTATTTTCTAATATCTTCACATTCAATACTTTTTCAGCACTTTTCCGTAGTTATATATGAAAGACAATTCGAGATAAAAGTCATAGTACAATGGAATAATATGTTGCACACCATTTGTTGTGAACCAAACTTGAAAGTCAGAGAAACTGTTACTAGATGGTTCGTAGAATTTAGAAGCAAAGTCATAAAAGTCCTTACCAATACATAGAAAACTATTGTTGCTTGAACTGAAACTTGCATGACACATAACATTTTGAGGGTCAAACACGTTTCTATAAACCATCAAATCTGCTGGTGGAAGTATAAATTTAAATGGACCATCTGGTGGTAATGGTTCGTTCTGGTTTAGTAACCGAAGAAAATTGTGCCCAAGAACGTTTGTCTACTTCCCAAAATAAAAACTCTGTATCTCTTGGAGGGTTAATTTCAATCTTTTGAAATGAAACGGTGGAGTTCATCTTGTCATATTCTAGTTTCAGATAGTATGTTCCATTTAGTAAAGAGTCGTATTTTTCTTGAAATTCCCAATAATATTTGTTCATTTGAGTTTGAAAGTCATTTAGAGTTTTCTCAAGACTTTCGTCTGAACGAACTGTAAAGATTCTCATTTCGTCAAATTTGTCTATTAGACCATCAGAACCTTTATACTGCCCATGAAAATATACTGCGAACATAAATGCGTTAGTTCTATTTGAAAACAAAACTCTTCTAAATCCTATTGCCTTTGCATCTGAAGGACTTTGAAGCCAACGAATTGGATAGTCAAACCTGTATGCTCGGGATGAAATTTCTTCATCTGAAATAGTCCTACCAGCATTTGTAAAGATATAGTCTAACGGTTTTGTATCTGCTACTTTTGTTCTTTGTTTTTCAACCTGAAGCATTTAATATATGTAAAAATATATTGTTTTAAAATGGTATGCCATTTCATATTTCTCATCTAACAAACAAGTTTCCCAACGGTCTTCTCCAACAAACTCAGCGTACATTTCAAATAAATTTTTACTTCATGCAATGTTTTATTTCTGTGCCGTCTTCAAGTATGCCCCAGTACTTACGCTTGGAGAGGACATGAACTTCGGAAAATACCTTATCTAGCTTAAAACAGCCCATCTTTTCACCGACCATTCCCATTTCAATGAGTTTGTTGTATCCTTCTTCGTTCGTCATGAGTGCGTCAATGTTCTCATAGTAAACCTTCACTTTGGATTTGACTTCGGAGAAGAATTTGTTGTAGTTGTCAAGGACTGCCTTTGCGAACTGAGGGTAAGACCAATGTTCGACAATAGGTTTTAATGTGGTTACTAAGCCACTTTGACCTTGAGTGAATTCGTACTTCAAAACAAAAGGAGAAAACCTTTCAACAAAGTTGTCGACCTTCTCATAATGTTTACTCTTCATCTCTTGAGGTTTCTTAATGGAATATCCCATGTCGAATTCATAAGCAATTTGAGTGTCATTGCAAGTTTGGGGTTTGAAGCTTTCCTAATATCATACAGTTGTTGTATGACTTTTCCAACTGTATAGTTCCTTCCCGGGAACTCACCATCTTCGTTTGGAATTCCAGTCGGAATATATTGGACAAACCTCATGTATGCAGCGTTAAGGTCGACATAGTATATCTTTTCATCTGAGTCGAACTTGTCGCAACCAATTGGTCCAGTTTGTGGAAATTCAAGTAAGTCTCTTATCTTCTGAGAAACTTCTCCTGTTATCTCATAAACATCGTCGAAGCAACCTGTTTCATATAAAACCTTCTGACCTAACTCAGATGCTCTCCAATACAATTTGACGTCAATTGGATGTCTCAATGGAAGTTTGTTTATAGCATCTTGAAGTTCTTGCAACCTCATTGGAAGTTCTTCTGGTTCAGGTTGGTATCCGAACATACCAACACCTTGTGGAACTGTGTACTTCTTTTGTACTAGAACTTTGTCTGGAACAACTTTTGGTCTTGCTAACAATGAAAAGTTTGTTTCGTCTTTTGGTACAAAAGTTTCTGTCAGCTTGTCATCTGGAATTGGTTCCAACAAACCTTTCTCGAAAAGAATGTTTACAGCTCTGACAATGTTGCACTTACTTTTACCAAAGAATGGGTGTGTAAGACTTTCGTTCAACATGAAGTGGTTGTGGACAATTACAATCTTCAACCATGGTAAGTCTTTGTCAACAACATAGTCGTCATGTGAAGAACCTTTAGCTGTAGGTATGTTGACTCGGATATTGACATTTGCCAACGGTGCAATTTTGCCAATTGACCTCTGAGAATGTACCTTGTCTTCACACATGACTCAAGATACTTCATCTTCTCATCTGTAACAAGACCAGAGTTCCTGAGACATGTAAGAATGCAAGGTTCGTTGACAATTGTTTCAATTGAATTGTAAATTCCATACCTTGTCAAGTCAATGTCAGACTTATTTATGAACGGGAAGTATCCAGCATGTTGTCTGACTGCTTGAGGGTTAGGTTGGTACCATTCGAACTTGACACTTGCAATTCCTTCAATTGCATTCAAAATGTCTGAGTCGGAGTCAACCATTTGTTCTCTCTTTGTAGTCTTGAAAGCGTCAAGAAGTTTTGCGGCTGTTTGTTCATTGCCATGTGCATAGTAAATGTGACCATCCAAATCCGTTATGGTCAATCTGAGATTGTGTCCTTTCTTATTTCCGTCTTGTATGGCAGCAAGTACTCCCATGAAGCCTTCTTTGTTCTTTCCTTCGTCAAAGTTTACTGTAAAGGTTCGACCAGATGTAATTTGACTTCTAACTTCACGATACTTTTCATATGCATATCTTGTTCTTTCCATGGGAGCATGTGTGTCTTCACCTTTTCCTTTTTTCCTTCTCAAAGGATGCAATTGTTCGTCATGTTTCCAGTAGAATCTGGCAAAGCCGTCGTGTCCTTCAACTTGAGGTTCACTAACATCGAAAGGCATGTCCATAAGACGAGTATATAAGAATTTCCGAAAAAGTGACACCCAAAAAGTGACACTTTCAATAGGGAGTAACACTTAAAAAGTGACAATTTAAAATTCACAATAAATAAAAATAATAAATTTTTTAGTCTATTAAATTATTCTTTTCTTTGAAATCCTCCAAAAATTCTTCGAAATGTTCTAAAATATAACCTGGAGAATTATAACAAAATTCATTAATTTCTAACATATACGTATCTAACAATTCATTTGGAATTTCAAACGATCTTAAATATGTAATTGAATTTTGTATCTTCTCATTTATTTGAGAAAGTTTTTCTTCAGCATTTTCCAATAAAAATCTTAATGGATTCAAATTGGCTTCTTGATTCTGAACAAAATTTAATACTTGGTATAAACGTGATTGAACTTCTCTTTTCAATTTTGTTTTATAATCTGTCAATCGAGGCTCGCGAATTCTAATTGAAGGAATAAAACCTGTTTGAAGTAAATTGTTTTTAATACGATAAAAGTAATTGGGTGCAACTTCTTCTAAAAGATTTTTGACAAAAACATCAATTCTTTGATTTTTAACGCAGCCAAAATCGTGATATTTTATCTTTTTAAATAAAGATTCAGAAACGTTATTCACAACGGTTAATTCATTTGGTCTGGCAGCGGCTATCCACTGTTGTTTATGAATGTCCCACTGACGTGTAAAGTATTGATTAAATTCCAATTGATCTTGAATTTTATCAATAATGTGCTCTTTATACATTTTTGCAGCATCTTCTTCTGTGCAATCACGATAATAACATAAAATGTTCATAAATTTTTCGACTTCTGATCTAATCTCTTCATCATTTATCTTTGAGAGATTCTTTTTAAGTGCGCGTATTACATGTAGCGCGCACCAAAGTTAGTATCCCTAACTTGGGTACGGCGGCACTGCGTTCCACCTTACCCAAGTTAACGGTTTGACATTTTACAAAACCAGTAACGTATATTTTACAATACAACCATAACACCAACTTAACCTTAAATATTTACAAAACCGTCTGACACATAAACGACTTCACTAACGACTTCACTAACGAATTCACTACCATCCTTACTAAATAAAAAATAACCTTATTTTTATTTTTTTTAATTTTTTATTTCATTACAAAGACATGTCTGACTACATTTACTATGACTCTTTCCCAGAACGTTTCCGTGAACTATTCAAAACTCAAGTAAAACTGAGAAACATACATTTTAACAAAGACAGACCCATTGACGATGAAAGAAACCCTGAATATATTACAATCCCATATGACGCAAAATTCATTGCATACATTCCTTATGGACGTAGAGGAACGAAAACTATTTCAACAAAGACGAAAAATTATTTCTGGAGCGATGAAGAAAATTGCCTTATCTACATAAATACATACTTAAATAAAGCTACATATTGTACAAAAGAAGGTTGGACTGGATTTGAGCTCTACATATACGACGACGATGGAAACAGACGTTGTGTATACCCATACGATAATATGTACCATTGTTTTCATCAAGCATTAAACGAATACATAGTCAGTAAGGGTCTCATTCCTGTTGAGTAGATATGTTTTATTTTTGTTCTGTCATTTATATAAAAATAAACTTAAAAATAAATGATATCACCACCCTCACGCGTATGAAAACATAGCACAAAAATAAATTTAGGTGAAGTGGTGAAATCTCACCTCTTTTTCACCCTGTTGAATTCATTGCTTTATAACTCTCTTCCTTGGTTTCTTTTTAGTTGCTTTCTTCACGTCTGTCTCCAACTTGACTGTCTTTCTTCTTCGGCCGTAATGATACCAGTTACTTCCACCAGTCAATGGGTCAAATGGTCTTTCGTAAGGGTTTCCATACATTCCATAGGGACCATACGGAAGAACTACTGGTGGAGAAGAAACATTTTCTTTAGTTCCATCGACTCTATTTAAATGCATTGTTTCACCTTTCATCTGGTCATTAAAGTCTTTTGCGTGTTTTGCAAACTCATCGTCCTTTCCTAAAGCATTTTCTGACTCAGTCGCAACCAAATTGGATGCTTTATTTATGAGCCCATTTTATTTAATCTTAACTTCTTTGCAACCCAGCCTCCAATCTTTCCCTTTATTTGCATCTAATGTCTTCGAAACCCTTCCTCCACTCATTTTATTTACTGCGTCATAAGCTCCAAGTGCTTTTGCTCCAAATGCTAATGCTTTTGTTCCCATTGCGCCTAAAGCTGCCCAAGCTACCATTTACACCATATTAAAATCATCTCTCTTCAATATTATCTCATAAAAGTTCTCGTTACTGGAGAAAGTCAATGAAACATAAGCGTTCTCACGGGCTTCGCCCTCACCGCTTTGCGGTCTATCTAACTTATTTCTTATATCATCTATACGCTTCAAAATGTCTGAACAATTGCTAACATCTTCTACAACAGTTATTTCATCATGAATGACCTTCAAGAACAAGCTCATTTAATATGCTATTAAAATCATCTCAATAATGAGTCCATCCTTTCCATCTTTAGGTAGCACAACATCTTTCATTGAAGAAGGTTCGACAAGTCTTATGTTAAACTTACTGACAAAGTTTTTATACTATAATGCTTGGCGGCGAATACATATAGTTTGAAAGACATAATATAGATTCTTCAGCAAATTCACTTATACTGGATTTTATAACAATGTTCTCACGAGACCAAATACCACCAATTGACAATCTTGTAAGCAATCCTGCGAACCTTCTACTGTAAACGTCGATGTAACATTCCACGAAGGTCATCTATTGACATCTTGAGTCACTGAATTTAAAATTTTTCTTAAAGCAATCGTCATTATCTAACCAGCAATAGCTTTGAAGTTTTCATTCGAATATACATCTGCTTCATTAAATGTAAATCCTGACTTCTTTGCAGAGATGACTTAAAATCTATTGAGTTGTTTCAAAATTATATGCTATGGTAACTTCTGAAGTAATGGATCCTTCCGCAGTAAGTTGTTCTCTCACTACCGTTTGAAGCTTTGTGTTAAAAACTTTTCATGTCATCTCCTGTCAGTCACATACACAGCAACAGGGAAACTATCTTGCTTCTTTGTTTCATCATTATATCTCAAAACATTAAAGTTCTTCAATAATATTTTCTTCCTGCTGGAATACTTCGAACCTGTCTGATTTCAATAGCTTTCTCACCTCCTACATACTCTACCCAGTGTCTTGGATATTCATAAGTATACTGACTTTCTTGAATTTTGGTTGTTTCATCATAACATGTTCATAGTATATCTTTATACTCTTGTCAGTTAGACTCGGTGCTATGTTCTGAATATTTCTGACTTGCATTTTTAATGGAGATAAAATGAAGCAATTTAATACATGATGTAGATGAAGACATGAATGAAACTACAGAAAACTAACTCTTCTCTTATTCTTCCTTTCAGCAAAGATTATGAATTCTGTTCAAATGGTGTGTATTTCTATTGTGGAAAGATGGGTTCAGGTAAGACATTAACCTCATTCGTCATATACTCATAACAGAGCGTTTAGGAAACGACTCTTACTATGACCAAATCATTATATCAGCAACTTCAGATTCAATGGACTCAACAGCGAAAACATTTATGTCAAAAGTTCAAGCCTCTGTCGTTAAAGTTCCAGACAGTGAACTCATTGAATTTCTTCAACGTTACATTCGACGTAAGAGGAAATATTATGCCATCGTAGAGTTCATACAGTCAGGAATGCAAAAGACTTCTGAGGAGATGGAAAGAATTATTGACAAACACCACTTACGTCAATACTCAGGAGTTTACGATATGAAACGACTTACAAACTACATTCTATCAAAACTTTCAAAATACCCCTTCAAAAAGTATCCTTCAAACACTCTGCTCGTTTTGACGACTTCGCCGGAAAAAGGTTTAGTGTCAAAACCAGACTCACCATTAGCTAACATCATAACTAAAGTCAGACATTACCATTTAACTGTAGCAATACTTATGCAAACATGGCTTTTCTGCTTTAAACATAAAACGTCTCATAACTGACTTCGTTATCTTTCAAGGTTTCTCACGTTATGATATTGAACTCATTTGGAAACAGTCAGGTATAACATTACCTTTTGAAGAAATTTGGGAAGCATATAAGTCTCTCATCTCTCCTCGTTCATACCTTGAGATTCATATCATGACTAATACCATTAAAGTCAAAAATATTCCATGGGAACGACCAACATTGTTTAAAGTTTAACCTTCAATTGACTGATGGTAAACAAATTCCATGCATCTCTGTCGCCATTTCTGTTAATATTTTTGCTGTCATTCATATCATCCACTTCCCCATCCGTTAGCTTTTGAGGATATGCGTTAGAATAGCTTTCTTAAATGAAGCTTTTCACCTTTAGAGCATAAACTCTATAACTTCTGCATACTTTATGTTTGAACCTCCTGAGCCATCATTGACATAAATTTTTATAGGCTTCCACCCTTTGTTCATATTCCTGCTTCTTCCCTTTGCTCTTTTGTTCAGTAGTTCTACATCTTTATACACAGCTCCTGTCTCAGTGAATTCAACAATATTTTCATTCGTTAGCTTTACATTCAAACCCTTGTCGAGTATATTGTTCATTTCATACATATAAAAGGTTTTTATTCTATATGAAATGAGAAGCAAATCCATCTTAGCTGGTGCCGTTAATGTTCCAATTGAACCAACATCAAATGTTGACTCACGAACGACAAACAATATTGTCATAAAGAACTATAGTTCAGAGTGTTTGAAAGAAAAAGAACCAGAGCTAATCCGTGAATTTAAACTCAGCTTCAAACGCTAACGCTACATCAGATGTTAAGTTAGAGTATCCACCACTGGACCAATTCTTTCAAGAGAAGCCAACGACAACCCTTACACAAATGTTCAAACAAATCCTTCAGATAACGTAGACCATTACCTTCTTCAGTTATACCAAACAATTTTACTCAAAGACGATAAGAAGCTTTTGA